CCCAAAAAAAAAAAAAACCAAAGGAAAAAGGAGAAAAAAGAATAAAAAAAGAAAAAAAAAAAAGAGGAACAAGGAAAAACTATCATCATAAACACGGCTTAACGTTTAAACTCAAAGGCTTTTTCTGGCGCTATCATTATCACCCAGAAACAAAAACCCAAATGTATCTCCCTGGTGACATTTCACGTGCCTTTTTAGTTAAGTAAGCGTCTCACACATTCTTGCCTACTTTAAAAAAAATTAAGATAAGGAAAACAGAATTTAAAAATAAATATAGTTAATTAACGAAGCTATGCTTTATTTTTAATAACCCCCCAAATAGCACGCCCTTGGCGTTGTCGAATGAAAAGATTGTGTGTCCTCAATGACTTTAAAGACCTTAAAGAGTTGAAATGGGAGTAAAATGCATTTGTCACTGCAATGGCCTTTGACCGACCTATCTCCGTCACCAGGTATGAACAGCCTGGCGTCCATGTTCTGTTTTTTCGGTCTGGGCTTGTTCCAGTTTCACGCAGGAGCCTACATCTTTGCCGTGGGGTTTGGCATCTACGCGGGTAAGTTACGATCTACATCTTATACAATCTAACCTGCTCTAACAGCCTCCTGTACAAGATAATCACCTGTACAAACGGCCAGTTCCAATTTCCTTCCTTTGTATTTTCTACATTATAATGCCACTGTGGAGAAGTAAGAGCAGCTATCGGAATTGAGTCTTGCCTGCATTACATAGAAAGACAGAGAATAAAATGATTTGGCCACCTGTTACGTATGTCACCTGGCCAATCAGCCTCGAGAAACTACAACATCAAGCACTCAGGCTATAAAGGAAGAGGAAGGCCACACAAAAGGTGGACCGAGGGTTTCAAGGAAACCCTGAGAAAACATAACATCACAACTGAAGAAAGAGCTGCGGAGCTGGCCTACCATAGAACACTGCATCTCCCCTCGCCTAACGGCAACAGAGGATGAAAAGTAAAGTAAAAGTAAAGTAAGTAATGCCACTGTGTAAAACGACCACATGTGAAAGACGGCTGCTTTTTCCTCAACAATGGGAGGCTGTCTTTGACAGTTTGGCTCTACATTTGAAGCTCTTTTCAACATCGACAGGTCATGTAAGAAGTAGGACCCCAGAATATAACGTCTATTTCCAATAGGACTAAGCCAATAAATGGACAGAGAGACAATTTAATTAAGATAATAATAATTCAAGTCTATGAGCTATACTGTACAGTCTGTCGTATCAAATTCAGAGAGATCGCCTGCTTTTCTTCTACTTATAAAGTCGGGTTTCGGGTCAAGAGAAGTTTCTCATATAAAAAAAAGAAAAAAAAAAGAAAGAAACGAAGCTAGAATCGGGGATTATTTTTTCTTTCGGTTTACCAGTACCGCTGTTTTCGGATTAACCGTGCTCGACTATATTTCCCAGATTACAGCGGACTCTGCTGTAATTCGAGTCAATGGCACATACATGTATTTAAGTAGTCATTCTGATACTATTGAGCGACGATATGCGCTAAACAAATGCTGTTTATTATCGCTATTGTAATTGTTATAGTTATTATTGTTGTTATTGTTATTGCTATTGTTGTTGTTGTTGTTGTTTTTATTATTATTATTATTGTTGTTATTATTATTATTTTTGTTGTTGTTGCTGTTGTTATTATTGTTATTATTATTATTGTTATT